CAGTGGCTCACACCAATAATCCTAGCTACTCGAAGGCTGAGATCTGAGGAACCAGTCTGGAAGCCATCTGGGGCAGGAAAGTTAATAAGACTTTCCAATTAACCACCAAAACGCTGAAAATGGAGCTGTGCTCAAATGGTAGAGCACCAACCTTGAGCAAAATAAGCTTAGGAAAACTGCTTATTCCTTGAGTTCAAGTTCCCATCTGGCACACACCACACACACACACACACACACACACACACACACACACACACACACCCCTACCCCTTCACTGCTGCCAACCTAAAACTGCTGGCTTATGACAAGGCTTTATCTGTGAACAATAGGAGACTAGAGAGAGAAAGAGCACTATTAATTTTAGGGACTAGCTTGGGTGAGTGTAAGGCCGGCAAGTCCAAACTCTGAAGAGTAATGGCAGGCTAGAATCCAGGGAAAAGTCAATGTTGCAGTCTCAAATCCAAAGGCTTTCTCCTCTGAGGACCTATCTTCTCTATCCTGAGGCTGATTTAATGTCTAGGAACATTACTGGAAGAGGGGGTACATGGTCAGTAATCCACTTAAAATCTGATTTAAATGCTAATCACATTTAAGAAATACCTTCAAGGTAACTTCTGCCAAAAGCTGGCACCTTGAGCTCTCTCCATGAAATTAGCAAATGGAGTTAACTGTCACATTAGAACATTTATTGTAATCCTCAGAGAAACCTAAGGCAAAAAAAAAAAAAAAAAGTTTAAAAAAATAGATATAGCAAGAGCTGGGTGCCAATGGCTCACACCTGTCATCCAAGCTGCTTAGGAGGCTGAGATCTGAAGATCACAGTTCAAAGCTAGCCCAGCCAGGAAAGTTCTTGAGACTCCAATTAACCACCAGAAGAAAAAAAAAAAAAAAAACGGAAGTGGCGCTGTGGCTCACGTGGTAGAGCGCTAGCCTTGAGCTGAAGAGCTGAGGGAAAGTGCCCAGACCCAGAGTTCAAGCCCCACAACTAACCCCTCCCCCTCAAAAAAAAATGTATAGCAAGAGAAAGGAAAAAGAAGGAAATAGTAGGCTAGGAGGTACTTTTGGAGCACTTAGGAAGGAAGCAGTAGAGGGGGAATTGAGGAATAAAAGTGTAAGACATTAGATAGTGGAAGAAGAACATGTGCTCCCTTGTCAGCAGCTGTGTTAGTGCACATGGATGGACTTCTCCAATTAAAAGACAGCATTTGGAAGTGGTGCTGTGGCTCAAAGCAGTACAGCACTAGTCTTGAGCAAGAAAAGAGCCCAGGGACAGTGCCCAGGCTGTGGAGCTTGAATTCAGGACCTAAGTGTTGTCCCTAAGCACTTTTGCTCAAGGATAGTGCTGTACCACTTTGAGCCACAGGACCACTTCTGGTTTTCTGGTGGTTAATTGGAGATAAGAGTCTCACAGACTTTCCTGCTTGGTCTGGCTTTGAACTGTGATCCTCAGATCTCAGCCTCCTGAGTAGCTAGGATGACAGGTATGAGCCACAGGTGCCCAGCTCAAAATAGTTTTTAAAGCAATCCAATTGTATGTTATCTACCAGGGACTTGCATTCACTCCAGAGGTACAGAAAGTCAAAAGACAGAAAAAAAAATAGCTAAAAATATGTTAAAGCCGGGAGTGCTTTAGAGGGACAGTGTTCAGGCCCGGAGTTCAAGTCCCATGACTTACCAAAAAAAAAGTTAAAACTGGCTGTATAAGTATTGAATAAAATAAGCTGTAAGATATTAATGTCAGGGGCTGGGAAGGTGGCTCAGTGGTAGAGCACTTGCCTTGCATGCCTGAGGCCCTGGGTTCAATTCCTCAGCACACATAAGCAAAAAGAAAAAAAAGCCGGAAGTGGTGCTGTGGCTCAAGTGGTAGAGCGCTAGCCTTGAGCTGAAGAGCTGAGGGACAGCGCCCAGGCCCAGAGTTCAGGCCCCACTACTGGGAAAAAAAAAAAAAAAAGTTATCCTAGCTCTGTGTTGGTGACTCACACCTGTAATCCTAGCTAGTCAGGAGACTGAGATCTGAGGATCACAGTTCAAAGCCAGCCAGGGCAGGAAAGTCTGTGAGACTCTGATCTCCAATAAACCACTAGAAAACCAGAAGTGGCGCTGTGGTTCAAGAAGTAGAGCACTCGCCTTGAGCTGAAGAGCGCAGGGACAGCGCCCAGGCCCAGAGGTCAAGCCCCATAACCAACAAAAAATAAATAAATAAATAAAAGTTATCCTGATGCCTTCTTGTAGCTGAAGAGCGATTCATGCTATTTTGCCAGTCCTGGGGCTTACACTCAGGAACTAGGAGCTGTCTGTGAGCTTCCAGCTTTTTCTGTGTATGTGGTATCAAGGAATTGAACCCAGGGCTTCATTCATGCGAGGCAAGCACTCTACCACTCTACCACTAAGCCACATTCCCAGCCCCATGCTGCATTTTTTTTCAGTGATGTCAATGTGTGTGTGTGTGTGTGTGTGTGCGCGCGCGTGCACACGCACGCGCGCACACATGCGCGCATGCATTTTTTCCTTTGGTGCCAGTCTGGGGCTTGAGCTCAGGGCCCGGATGCCATCCCTGAGCTTTTTTGCTCAAGGCTAACACTTCACTGCTTGTGCCACAGTTCCACTTCTGGTTTTTGTTTTTTGTTTTTTGTTTTGGTGTTTAACTGGAAATAAGAGTATTGTGAGCTTTCTGCCTGCTAGTAGCTAGGATTATAGGTGTGCACAACTGTGCCCTGTTCTTTCTGTGGGTTCTTGAGTTTATCCAGCTTGGAGTTCATTGTGCTGCTTGGAGGTATATATCATATTTTCATCCAGAGGATTTGAGGGCTGCAATTTATTTCAGTACTTTTCCTACTTTGGACAAGGAGAGGTCTGGATTAGGAGGATGTGAGTGCCAAGTTGCTGAGCCTGAGTGCAAGAGGGAAACTGTGGAATGGGCACCTGACATAAGCATCCAAGAGCTCAGCCACTCAGGCCTAAAGGGACCTGGCTGGAAAGGAAGGCAGGAGGTAATGGAACACATAAAGACACAGGTGCTGGGTACAGGGGGGCATACAGGAAGGGTTAGCCATCTAGGATTGCTTTTGTGACAGGAAAGTGAGTTTTCTCTCTACTGCCTCTCATTCTTAGTATCTATCTACCTATCTGAAATGTGCTGTATTTTTTAAAGTACCATCATCACCAGGCACTGGGGGCTCACGCCTATAATCATAGCTACTCAGGAGACTGAGATCTGAGGATCACGGCTCAACGCCAGCCTGGGCAGGAAAGTCTATGAGACACTTAGCTCCAATTAGCCACGAGAAAACTGGGAGTGGATCTGTGGCTCAAAGGGCTAGAGGCTAGCCTTGAGCAAAAGAGCTAAGAGATAGCACCCAGGCCCTGAGTTCAAGGCCCAGGACCAGCAAAAAAAAAAAAAACAAACACAGAGGGAGGGAGGAAGGAAAGAAGGAAGGAAGGAAGGGAAGAGAAAGAAAGATAAAGAAAGAAAGAAAGAAAAGAGAAAAACATCATCTATGTTATTACATAAAACCTCACTTTTCATGGACATGGTTTTCCATGTCAAGGACTTTTTTTTGCCAGTCCTGGGACTTGAACTCAGAGCCTGGGCTCTGTCCCTGCACTTCTTTTTGCTCAAGGCTAGCACTCTACCACTTGAGCCACAGTACTACTTTTGGCTTTTACTGTTTAAGTGGTACTGAGGAATCGAACTCAGGGCTTTTTGGATGCTAGGCAAGCACTCTACCACTAAGCCACACTCCCAGCCTGATAGGGACTTTTTGTGGTTCACTCAGTGCCCAACGCCAAACAATTTTCCCTCCTTAGTCTGGTCCTGTGGAGAAATTAATCTTTACCCTAGCTCAGCATTTCCCAGTAACAACTAAGTTGGATTTGTAGGGCAACATGTTCCCAGCAGCCACTCATTAACACTTCTGGAAGGACTGCATGCAGGTTAAACTCCTGCAGAGCCATGAGCCGTGTCGCGGAGCAGAGATGGGAGAGGCAGCCAGTCCATCTGTGCACCCCACCCTGAATCCAAATGGAATCAGAGTTATCCCTGATTCACAGGGGAAATGGGTTAAGATCTGCAGGGAAATCCAGCTCCTTTGCCCCTCACACAGCTTCCAGGACTCAGCCGGGGTGACATCACCCGTGCTGCAGAATAGCCCTGAGCATGAAATGGGAGCATGTGCAGGAGCAAGAAGCATGGTCCATGGTGTGATAGACATTGGATCCTTTCACCCTGCTGTTCCAGGCAGACTAGAATCCGAGTGGATGGTCACATGGAGGGGCTTGGCACATCTCACTGAGCTATAAAAAGAGCCAAAATGTTCACAGCAGGACTTAAATTGCATGACATAGGGACATTTCTGAGATTGGCAGGAGTGACCATTCTGAGTCCTCAGTTTGCTCACAGTCTGATGGTTACAGATGACATAGCTTCCCATTATGATGATTATCACCAGAAGGGAGACATCTGTCCCAATGCCCTATGCTACTTTTACTGATGCTTCTTCTTCTTTTTCTCCTTTTTTTTTTCTTGTACCAGTCATGGGGTTTGAACTCAGGGTCCTGGGCACTGTCCCTGAGCTTTTGTGCTCAAAGCTAGCACTCTAGCACTTGAGCCACAGCTCCACTTCTGGCTTCTTTTGGTAGTTAATTAGGGACAAGAATCTCACAGATTTTCCTACCTGGCTTGAAACTGCAACCCTCAGACCTCAACTTCCTGAGTAGCTACGATTGAAGATATAAGCCACACCATGCATGGGTGTGCCAGCAAACACCCCCATCCTTCTTATACAAATTAAATATAGAACAATCCGGCTACTAGGCAACTGGGCCTTCTCTTTCTGTGACTCAAATTCATTAAACTCCCTTTCTCTCTCCCCCTCCATCCCCTCCTCCTGCCCAGCCTCCTCCTCCAGCTCACCCAGCTCCTGCTCTGAGATTTGCCCACCACGAGGGCAGCAAAAGAGACAAAACTGCCCTTTGAAGCAACTGCTCTGCATGCGGCCACATCGTGGGCTGGAGGTGCCACCATCACGGTTGGTTTAATGATCAATTCATTCCCGCTCAGAAAGCCCTTCCTGACCTGGCTGTCCTCAGTCGTCTGGACTTGGCAGTGGTGCTCACTACAGAATGACTGCCAACAACTCTACCGATGGCCTCCATGTTCCCGGGCCACAGCTGAGCGTGACTGACATCGTGGTCATTGCAGTTTATTTTGCCCTGAACGTGGCCGTGGGCATATGGGTGAGAAAATCCGTGGTGGCAGCCAGCTTGGCTGGGGGGTGGGGAGGGGGGGCACGGCACCAGGGCTCACATGTCTCTGGAGTGTGTGCATTGTATCACCTGGGGCCTGCTACCTACACATAATTACCATCCCAGGGATTCCCCAGCTGCACCCAGAGGTGCTAGGTCAGAACCAGAGCTAGGACCTAGGCCCTAGCCCTAACTCAGAAGCCCCTTTTTTCCCCCTTGAGAAGGGATAGGTGTTTTGACCCAGTGAGAGATTCCAATGACTGTCAGTACCCTTTATGTAGGCCCAATGCCAAGCCTGTGCCTGGGTCCCATGCCCCCACAGCCCTCTGAGGAAGAGCAATGGTATAGGTGAAGAAACCGAAGCAGTAGAGGAGAGGCATGGGGGGTGAGGGGAAGAGCAGAATTCATATGCTGAATTTCAAGGTGCTGCTGCAGAAAGTGGATCCAACCTGCCAGCCCTGCTTCACCTCACCAGCTCTGTCTAGCCGGTAAGGTCCTCTTTCTGGGTCCCAGAAGTGCCCAGGTAGTGTCCTGAACAGGACATTCTCTCAAGGGATGTGAGTATACATCCTACCTCCTCGAACCCCTAGACTGACACTAAGAGCTAGGGGACTAGATACTGGTCATGCCCCTCAGCATCTCCTACCGCATGGTGGGAGATCTCCATGAAAAGGGCCTCGCCAGGATAGGCCCTAAAGTGGTAGGGGTGCCAGGGAGATGTGTCTGCAGTGGTGATGGCAGCAGAAGCAGTGGATGGAGATGGCCGAGATGGTGGAGATGGTGAGAGAGCTGCAGAAGTGGGGGAGGGGGCTGTAGAGTGGTGGTGGCTGAGATGGTGGAAATTGTGGTGGAGGTGTTGGAGTGGAGAAGATATGGACTTTAATTGAGGCTTTGGTGGAAGTGGAGGAGGCAATGATGGTGGAGATGATGGTGATCGCACTGGTAGTAGAAGCAGTAATTAACATAATAATGATATGATTCCATTTAAACCACAAGAGGCCCCCGTGCTGACCTGTGCAAAGCCAGGTTCTAGTCCTGCTCTGCTCTGTGTAGCCATACTGAGGTGTTGGAGCTTGTTTATTTTTACAAACTAATGGTTGTAGTGTTCCTGCACCGAGTAGGCCTTTAGTGACGTTTTACCCCCAACAGCATGTTTTCACTTTGTCTCTTTGTCACATTTTGGTAATTCTTGCAACATCACAACCCTTTATATGACTGTTTTTTGTTTGTTTTTGCCTGCTGTGGCAATCTGTGACTGGTGGTCTTGGACATTAGTATTGTAAGCGTTTTAGAGGGGTGACAGGAGCTGTGACCATGTGAGTGGGTAAACTTGGCACATCTGGACAGGGTATATTCTGACTGTTCCACAGGCCAGCTGTTCCCCACTCCTCCCCCTCCTTCCTGAGACACGATATTGAAATGGGGCAAATTAATAACCTGCAGTAGCCTCTTGAGTGTTCAGATGGAGGTAAGAGTGGCACAGCAGTCACTTTAAATCAAAAGCTAGAAATGATTAAGCTAGTGGCAAAGACTGAGGGAGCCGTGCGGTCTGGAAGCCAGGCTGCCTGCCCTGAATGGTTCAGAAATCAAGCTGCTCTAGCAGCCAGCATGTATTAGATGTGAAAGGGAAACAGTGACAACTGCCATGGAGAAGGTTCTAGTGGCCTGAATAGACCATAAAGCAGCCACCCTGAAGTGCTCCCTGAAGACCCATCCAAAGCTAGGCCCTAACTCTCTCTGGTTTTATGAAAGCTGTGAAAACAAGGAAGGGTAGAAGAGAGGTGTGAGCTGACAGAGGTCTTCCTGAGTTGTAAGTAAACACACACACCCACACCCCACACACAGCCTGCAGCACAGGTGGTAAAACACTGGGTGTGACTCAGAAGATGCAGGGGCCACCCAGAACCCCAGGGATGCAATGCAGCTGAAGCAGCCTTGCATTGAAGGAAGACCCAGCCAGGACTTGCAGCGCCAGAGTGAGGTCAATGCTGGGCTTCAAAGCTGCATAGCATGGGGTTTCTTCCCTTGTTAGGGCTGAGGCAGTGGTGGCCTGAACTGAAGGCCATATTCACAGCCATGTGACAAAGCCGGGCCTTAAGAACTATACTCACAACAAGGTTCAGGCCTGTAATCCTAGCTACTTAGTAAACTAAGATCTGAGCATCAAAGACAGCCAGGGAAGGAAAGTCTTTGAGACTCTTATCTCCATTGAGCCACCAAAAAGTCAGAAATAAAAGGAGCTGTGGCTCAAGTAGTAGAGTGCTATCCTTGAGCAAAAGAAGTTCAGCACCCAAGCTTTGAGTTCAAACCCCGGGACTGTCAACAAAACAAAACAAAAAGTCAGAAATGGAAATGTGGCTCAAATAATAAAGCACTAGTCTTGAGCCAAAAAA